GCAGAGAGCAGGAGAGGCAGAGTCTAGCAGCATCCCCAGGCTTTCCAGAAGGCCTGGCTGGGAATGGGGTGTGGCACACGGTGTAATCGGTGTGCCTTGGTGAGCACCTCCTGTGTGCCGGTCACCACGTTCAGTCCTTTTCAGCATTTGGCTGGGAATGGGGTGTGGCACACGGTGTCATCGGGGCAGTCTTGGTGAGCACCTCCTGTGTGCCAGTGGCCACACTCAGTCCTGTTCAGCATTTTGTTTAGTCACCCAAATAAAAGTTAGAAATTGCTGAGAAACTGAGAGTGCAGGGCAAAAGAACACATGATTCGTACTGTGGAAGCAGGACGGTCTGTTGGGGTGCTGGCAGGGAAGTTGGGTGTTTGATTGCCACATGGTGGTGTCATGAGCAGTCACGGAGCCGTCGGATTGCTCTGGTGAACTCGCTGCCTGGTTTTTCTCAACTGCAAAATGAAAGAGCTGAGAGGATGAAATGAGTTAACAGATGGGAAGTGTAGGCCACCCAGCCCTGCTCAGCCTTTGAGCAGCAAAGAGGAGGAGGAGGAGAAGCTGTTCTCTGGTTACAGAGGGCATGGGGCTGGCCCGGAGGCTCATAGTGTGACCAAGGGCGATTCCTTGCCTCATTTTGTGTGATTTAGAAACAAGGTGGAAGCAGAAATTGGGCATTATGTCAGGATTTAATGAAGCCTTGTTTGGGAGCTATTGTCTTATTTTTAACCACTAATTAAAGGGTGCTGTTTCCCTCTATAGAATAAAACATTTACAATTTGTAGATAAAGTAAATGTATGCCTCACTTTTTTCGTTAAGTTCTTAAACTTTTTTTTAATTGAAGAATGGAAACACACATGAAAGTGTATTTGGGCTTAAAAAGTTGTCACAAAATTATCCTCAGGTCAAGAAGGACCCATTTCCAGCCCCCAGAACCCCCTGCATCCTGTCCCAGGCACCTGCCTGCTCTGCTCCCTAAAGATGGGCACACTTCTCCCTTCTGACCCTGTGGTGAAACCGGCTTGGTTTTCACCTTTATGCAGGGTACACACACACGCACACGTGCACAGTCGCAGGGCTAGCTGAAGGTATCTTCTATCTGTAAATCTCAATAAAATTTTAAAATTGTAGAGGAAGTGACTTTTAAATGAACGCTAAGCATTACTCTTGGGAGTCTCAGGAGGGTAATTTAATTGGTAGTGTCAGTAGTAAGAGCAAATGTTTTCTGTACCCGTTGACACTGTTTTAGATTTAGGAATAGCTCATGTGACAGAGTCATGGTGAAGTGTGCCATCCAATTTGAGAAAAGATCAAATCTCAATGACAAAGCTTCCAGACTTTTTTAAACATTAAATTTAATTTTTCTGAGACTGTCTCTGTTGCCCAGGCTGGAGTGCAGTGGCGCAATCTTGGCTCACTGCAACCTCTGCCTCCCGAGTTCAACTGATTCTCTTGCCTCAGCCTTCCAAGTAGCTGGGATTACAGGCGTCCGCCACCACACCCAGCTAATTTTTGTATTTTTAGAGATGGGGTTTCACCATGTTGGCCAGACTGGACTTGAACTCCTGACCTCAGGTGATCTACCTGCCTTGGCCTCCCAAAGTGCTGGGATTACAGGTGTGAGCCCCCGTGCCCAGCGACTTCCAGATTTTTTTTACGTAAGTCCATGTGATTGTGTTTCTGATCTATGCACCCACATACATTTACATTGAACATATTTATGTCTATGCACCCACACACATTTACACTGAACATATTTATGTCTATGCAACAAACACGTTTACATTGAACATATTCATGTCTATGCACCCACACACATTTACATTGAACATATTTATGTCTATGCACCAAACACGTTTACATTAAACATATTTATGTCTATGCACCCACACACATTTACATGGAACATATTTATGTCTTTGCACCCTCACATGTTTACATTGAGCATATATGTCTATGCACCCACACACGTTTACATTGAACATATTTGTGTCTATGCGTCCATACACGTTTACATTGAACATTTATGTCTTTGCACCCACACACGTTTACATTGAACATTTATGTCTCTGCACCAACACACATTTACATTGAACATATGTATTTATATAAAACAGCAAATTTATTTCTTGAATAATCAAATATAGACAGAAACTCAATGGTTATAAAAAGCTTCCCAGACAGCATAGTCTGGGGTAATATTCACATGTTAAACCTATTAACATTTAAATGTTCTAAATATTATGAGTAATTAGCGATTACAGCCACAGAAGAGGAGCTCCCTCCCGTGACATTCCATCCATTTTCTTTGAGTTGTTTTTTTGGGGGTGGGAATGGAGGGGGGTTCCTCCACTCACATAGACCCAGCAAGCTTTTCCCTCTAGGAGCTTTTGTGAACTCACCCAGCCTGCTGCCAGGTTATGTGGAGAAGGACTGCAGATGTCTCGGATGGCAGTCGTCACACTAGTTTTTTGCTTGCCCAAACAATTCATTTAGGGATGTCTTCAAGTGAAGTGCCTAGAGATTCCATCCCATCCCTGGGACATCGAGCAAATAGCAGCAACAGCCATTGGCAAATTTGTGGCTGTTTGCCAGCGTTGACTCTGTAGTCAGTTTGCATTTTCAAGATGGGGGAGACATGGGCAGATGGTACAGAGGCGTCCTTTCCCTTCCGAGTCCACATGCTCTCCCTCCTCCTCCTCAAGTCAGATACTTTTTGTTCTTCATTAAAGTTTTCCCTTATTCTTACGGGTCACCCTATAGTCTTAAAGCATTCAAGCAGTCTGTATATTTTAGAACAACATATTTATAAATCATTTTCTTTCCTTCGTTTGTGTATGGAAGCAGGAAGGACATAACAGTTACAGGTAGAGGGAAAATAGGACAAATACGAAAAAAACAGTAGAGTTTAAAAAATACTACCAGTTATTGGATGTTGTGACGTCGTTTTATTTTTTAATTAATGTGCTAGAACAATAATTAAATAGAAGAATTTCAGCAGTTAACAATGCTAAATACTCATACTTTGTACATCCTGTCTGTAGTTTGATGAGAGGCTTTGTTGTAAAAATATTCTCTTTACTCATGAACTGACTCTTCCTAGACTCCAAGTAGGAAGGATGGAATATTTATTTGCGTTTGAAGTTTCATACAGTAGAGATTTCAATAACATATTTGACTTGTCTTAGGAAGTTTCTCACATCTTCCCTAGTTTCTACAAATGAAAATGTCTGCAAAGCTCTCAAAGCCTGCATCCTAGACCTATCTAATTCTGACGTCTGCGCATTTCTTTCGAGTGTAAAGTCAGTGTGGCCATCCAGCTGAATAGTAACTCTGAGGCTGGGAGTAAAATCAGATATCAGTGTAGTTGATAATCAAAGCCCCTTATTGCTATTTTTCAAAAACAAAGTAGCAGTACTTTAGCACTCACCCAGGCAATTATGATTTTTGGCTAATTTACTTTTGGTTTTTGCAATTTCAGGGTACCTAGACAACACATTTTGCATCTGTCGAAGTCTTAGATTTTATTTTTGAGTTCACGTAATGACTTTTAAAATATTCTAGTAAATGTCTTCAAAGACCCCAGATCAATATGCCAATGGTTCTGAAATGACAGAGTGCCACGATATTCCTCTGTAATTTAAACATGATTAGCTGATGAAGGTTATGATCAATACACTACCGGAAGATAAATTAATTGATATCATCCTTTCAGGATGATAAGAGGCCTATTGGAGGTGGGATATAACTAATGAAGCTGCTTCTTCATCTCTGCGAGCCATTTTTTACGTATTGCATTTTCACTTAATCATATTTATACCATCATTCATTTACATGAAACCTATAGGCTGTGGACAGACCAGTTTCTTATTAAAATTGTATTCATTTGGAAAAGAAATTATCTGCAAACACGATATGGGCCCCGTCTATGTTATAACCTATTGCTGGGGAGAGATCACATGTTCTTCTCCATGGACATCTTCGAAAATAGCAACTATCTAGGCAAAGACAAGGATTGAATATCGTTGAACTTAATTACTGCTAGTCCCCAAAGACACACATCTATTCAAATCAAAACTGTAGTTATTCTGCGGCAGTGACACCTATTGGTGTAGGAAGTTTTCTAATCGTTGATTTCCTTTCCAATTACATCCAGTATGCTTTATCAGCGAGCCTATTTGCCAAGAGAAGTTATGGCTGCTTGAATTTAGATTTGTATTGATTAAGATAAACTTCCAATGTGTGCAGTAGTATATTTAAATAAAAGAGGTCTTTGATATAATTACATGTCCTTGAATATAATTCTGTATGATAGCTTGTAGAGTTAAGAGGAATTCTTTAGGCTTTAGGGGGAAAAAAAACCCCAAAAAAACAGTTTTTGTCTTTCCAGGGGGTTTGGTTAAATTGCCCTGCCTTATTTAGGATTATTTTTGTTCCAAGTAACTGGAAAAAAGAATCATTTTATGAGAATAACTTAAATGAGACAGGTGTGTATTTTTTTGCTTCACATTCCTCTGAGGTGGTCTGTGCAGGGCTGCTGAGGCCTTCTGTGGAGGCGGGAGACCGGAGTCGGGGGACCGGCTCTGTCTCCTTCCCATGTGGCTCCTGTTCCCAGTGTCACCTCGTGTTCCACAATGCTGCTGAGGCAACATAACATTTGTGCATTTCAGGCAACAAGTAGGAAAAACATACAAGAATTTGGGGGCAAACGGAAGCTCTCAAGAAAGATCCTTAAAAGCTGCCCTGTGATCCTTCTGCTCTCATCCTGCTGGGCAGAGCTGGTGTACCTGGCCATGTTCAGCTGATGTGGGGGTTGGGGGATGGGAGGAGGCTCTGGAAAATGTCATATTTATTCTGGTTGTCATTTGCCCAACTAAGAACTAGGAATGCTATTACTGCGAAAGAAGGAAATAACAGATTTCGATGACAGACTGATGATCTCTGCTCTGTTCCTGAATTTGGAAATTGATTGACATGGATTTCTTTTTGTCTGTGTGTCCACCAGTTGCCCAGAAGATTGTTGCCACAAGGAAGAAGCAGCAGCTGTCCATAGGACCCTGCAAGTCGCTGCCTAATTCTCCCAGCCATTCCTCCGTCTGTTCTGCGCAGGTGTCCGCCGTGCACATCAGCCAGGTACGTTAGGTGACGTGAGAAGTCGGACTCTTAGAACCAAAGAGAATGTGCAAATAGTGTTCCCAGCCAATGCAAGGTTGAATTTTTTTTTTTTCAACTTTATGAGTAACAGCATGATGTAATTGACTTAACATTTTCTTCAGAAACTGCTGTGGCCAAGTGAGTTTTATGGGAATCATTCGTTAATGTTTTCTGTCTTCATGCTGCCTGTGTTATGAGGCATGCTGGCCCGGGTGGTGATGGGAGGTGTGTGGCTGTGGTCCTCGCTGGTGATTTAAACCACCCTTCTCTGGTCTTGGTCCTAGTCTGCTTATAGGTTGAACAGTTGTGAGTAAATCTTAATGGCCAATCTCGCTTTATACTTAAATTTGGTAGTGGCATTCAATTATAATTATCATCTCCCTTAGGTCCCATAGAAACTGCTATCTTTCCATAACAACATTTTGCAAAATTATTTACTTGGAAGCAAACGAAATAATTGTCACTTTGAAGAACCCAACCAAAAACCTCTTAATGCTTTGTTTTTGCCTGTGCTTGTTTTTTGATTACGTTTCCTGGGCAGGTACTCTGTTGGCACTTTTTTTTTTTTTTAAGGACATGGCGAAAAGGTTCAATGTCATGCTTTCAGTTCACTTGGGAAGCCAGTAAAGTTAGGGCATGTATTGTCAGAGCCTGTCCAGGTACAGTCATGAATGTTCATGCTGGCTGGGCTGAGTGGCAGATGCCTGTAATCCCAGCACTTTGGGAGCTCAAGGTAGGTGGATCGCGTGAGCTCAGTAGTTCAAGACCAGCCTGGGCAACGTGGCAGAATCACACCTCTGTATATACAAAAAATAGAAAACTTAGCCAGGCATGGTGGCTTGTGCCTTGGGAGGCTGAGGTGGGAGGATCACCTGTGCCCAGCAGAAGATTGAGGCTGCAGTGAGTGAGATCGCACCACTGCACTCCAGCCTGGGTGACAGAGTAAGACCCTGTCTCAAAAAAATAAATAAATACATAAAAAAAAGAATGTCTTCACTTGCTGTGTTTATTTTTCTGTAAATCTTGAAATACTTTTCAAAAACACTCAGATTTTCCAGGTGTCGCTTTCGGAATGTTAGCTGTGGTTCTACTGATCTAAGGCAGTGAAGGAAACATAGAATCCGTTTAGTTTAACCAATCTCTTTCATTTTCAGAGGAAAGAGAAAATAATCAAATTTGAACTTCAGAAATCTTCTAAGTTAAATGAGAGAGACTTCTTTGTCTTCAGTCACTTTTCTTAGGGGACGCCACTGAGTGAGATGGTTGGCATGTTCCAGGATGAGACCTCGTAGACGTGATGCTAATACACCTGGCAAAGCCATAGACGCCAGTCAGCCATTCTCACGCATCCCTTCCGTGGGGCTCATGCCCCCTTGTTGGTTATGACCTTGCTTAAGTGGAGGGCTTGCGTTCCTGAGTGTGTCGTTAATAAAACCTTGGATTTTAATCATTTCAGACAAGTAATGGAGGTGGGAGTTTAAGCGACTATTCCTCCTCCGTTCCATCGACTCCCAGCACCAGCCAGAAGGAACTTCGGATCGATGTTCCTCCCACTGCCAACACGCCCACGCCCGTTCGCAAGCAGTCCAAGCGCCGGTCCAACCTGTTCACCGTGAGTGTCACCCCTGGGTGGAGATTTGAATGAGATTCTGAAGCGTCTCCATTAACGCAAACCTGGTTGCCGCACGGTTCAGTGGTATTTGTAGAATCTCAACTATATTAAAGTTAATACCATTGATTTCTGTGGAAGACTAAGAAAATCATGAGAAGCAAAGATTTGGATGTTGAGTAGAGTGGGGGTTTCTTAGTGTAGACATTCCTGACTTCATGTGTCTGAAATAAAGAGCTAGGGGTGTGTGTAAAGGCACTTGTTATCCTGTGGCTCCAGCTAAACACATGTCACAGTGGATACAAGGAGATGACAAAACTCTAAGTTTCCCAGATGTGTGTCTCTAACCGTTCAGATGATATCTAAGCTGTCACTGTCCAAGGCCCCCTTCTGCTGCTGCTGGCGTGCCTGGCGCTGCCCTCGGGGTGGAGGCTGGGGGCTGGGAGGTGCTTCCTGGAGGCTCATTGCCATGAGGCTCTCCACTTGGGTTTTTTTCTGTAGAGCATGTTGAAAGCAGAGATGAGCTGTCTGGGTTCAGGTTTATAAATTCACAATCTGGGTGCACTCGGGCACGTGTAGTTCCTTTTTTTTACCCCCCTTTTGAGATGGGGTCTCACTCTGTTGCCCAGGCTGGAGTGCAGTGGCTCAGCCATGGCTCACTGCAGCCTCAACCTCCTGAAATCCTCCCACTTCAGCCTTCTGAGTAGCTGGGACCACAGGCACTCACCACTGTGTGTGGCTATTTTTTTTTTTTTTTAAAGAAATGGGTTTTACTGTGTTGCCTAGGGTGGTCTTGAACTCCTGGGCTCAAGCCATCCTCCCGCCTTGGCCTCCTGAAGTGCTGGGATTACAGGCAAGAGCTATAGTGCACAACCAGCATGTGAAGTGCTTAAAAACTCCCTGGGTGATTGAGATGCAGAGAATCCCTGAATTACAGAGGAGGCAGAAATGCCACCAGCCTGTCCCTTCCCTATGCATAGCAGACATTACCAGTCAATCTGGAGTCTACACAGTTGAGCCCCAAACTCCAGGCACGGCTGCTGTCAGGTGACCGAAGCCTTTGGACTTGAGAAGAATGCTTTTCCTCCCTGGATCATGCATTACAAGTACATGCTTTTGAAACAGTGCTTCTCAACCAGGGTGGTTTTGCTCTCCAAGGACATTTGGCAATTTCTGGAGAAACTCTGGGCTATCACAACAGGAGTATGGGAGTGGGAAGGTAAGGTTCTGCAGATGTCTAGCCGTGAGTAGCAACCAGGGGTGCTGCAAAGCATCCCACAGTGCACAGGTCAGCCCCTCACAGCAGGGAATTATCCAGCCCCACATGTCAGTGGTGCCCTGTTTTAAACCATCTGACTTCCATTTCTGGTTGGTTACTGCTGACCCAGATGCAAAGCTTAATATTTCCTATTGAGTTAAAGGAGGACTCTAGAGGGGTGGCTGGGAGTCAGATTGCTGCCCCTTTGTAAATCCGATCTTGATATTACGTTGTGGTTCCTGCCAAGTCTGGGAGATCCCCAGCCCCTCTGCCACGTGTTTGGGGCAGTCTCTCATTGGACGCTCGTGACTGCTGAGGCGGTTGCCAGCTGCACACACCCCCTCCTCCCCAGCCTCCCCTTGCCTTTGCTGGTTGCCTTACACCACATCAGCTCCCACAGAGGCTGCTGCTGGGCATCAGGGTGAGGACTGATCAGACAGACCAAGCTCAGACCCTGGCCTCCACTGCTGATGGATGTTTGACCTTAGGCAAATGACTTGACCTCTCTGGGCTGGAAACCACAGTACTTCTGCAGTGGGGCTTCCGGGAAGACTTCCTGGAGGAGGCAGAAGAGACCTGGTGGCATTGCTTCCGTTGTTTCCTCACTCCCATTGATGCTATAAAATGATTTCTGGTAGTGTTAAGCATATGTGATAGATTATAGGAGGTGGGTAATTAGGTTTCTGCAACATACAGGTGAGTATCTCACATGCTTAAATTAGTGCATGGATAACACGTTTTATTGGGCAGTTTCTTCAGACACACCGAGAACAGCAGCAGTTACCTAAATAGCTGCTTCCCAGCTCCATCTAACACCTGGAGCCCCTGCCTGCACCCAGCCCGGGGGGCTTTGGGTTGAAGTGTTTCCTCTCAGAACAGTCTGCACAATGACTCGGTGACTTGAGAAACCAATAGCCAAAGATGCAGCTGGATTGAGAGAGGGTGTGGGCTGTGGGCAGGCGGCCTGTGCCTTGGGAGGAAGGGCGGGCTTGTCATCGTGGTGGTCGAGAACACCTGTGCCTTTGTTAAGGGAGTGGAAGGGGACAGCACTCATTCTCAGACGCCTTCTGAGGGCCACATTTTCTGCTTGTTGACTTTGCTTTCTCTTCAAAGGAGAGAAATTTAAAAACCACAAAATTAAAAATGAGAATATTTACGAGGAGAATGCCAGCACCTTCCTGTCCCCTCCCTTTATAAGCTGTGGAACTGGAGTGTGCCAGAAAGCAGTATCCCACTGGGTAACTGACCACCCAGGTGACTTAGGGAGGAAAACATTTCAAGGCAGAGAGAATCAAAATAAGAGCTCAGTTAATAAATACTGACTTAACATCTGTCTGCACAGCCCTGGTTTAGCTCAGTGTCTAGGAGAAGCTTGCTGCCAGAGTCAACGCATGTTCAAGAGAAAGCATTTAGGGTGAAGGAGAAGGGACTCTGCACCCTAGGAGGAGAGACCCTGTTCCTGTAGATTCACGCTGCAGACACACAGATGCACTTACAGGCATCCATGAAGAGGCCGGGCAGGGCAGGTGCAGAAGCCAGTAAAAACTCATCGTTACAGTGACCAAAAATCACAATTAATTATTTCACCATTAATGTGTCGTGTAATATAATGGCCTGCCTATGGATCTAAGTGTGACCAGTGTTTGTGGTCTTTCTCCTTGATCCTGGAAAACAAATTTGAGATCAGATCAGAAATTGAATCCAGCTGCCTCATTGGCATTAGTGGGAATAGGAACTTGGAGTCATAAAAGAAGCTGCCACTACAATAGGTTTGCATTGTGGCATTTAAGGAAAAGATGGTGATAGTTCTGGGCAGGGATCCATATGTTGGTCCTCAGTGGGCTCGACATTGAACAAAATGATGGTGATGATGATGGTGGTGGTGGTGGTGGTGGTGATGGTGATGATGCATGTGGTGTAGTCTTAAGTTGAAGTTCTTGGAAATAGTAACTCCACTAGATGTCAGTGTCATCCAAGGAACAAAAGGAAGGCAAATTAATTTTGAAATCATAGCAATTAAGTAATTAAATTTTTAGCATGACCAGTTTTCTTCTGTTTTTAAATATGTAAAATTTGATAGACTCTTCATCCCTGGCAGTTGTTGGTGATTATAGGCATAAACTGTCAAAATGTGTGTGTATTTGGAAGTGTCTAGTCCGAGGACAGATGCATGGTATACAGACAATCTTAGTGAATAAAAATTTGTGCAGACTGGGATTGTAACACCCAGCTGGAGGGGCACTATCCACCGTATTTATTAGAACATCATAAAGAGGCCATAGTTAATTAAGTAGTACACGCATCATTTTTTCCGATACCATTCTTATACATTTTATAAAGTAGACTGTAATGTACTGCTCTGGGCTAACATTTTGTGCTCCCAGATGTTCGTTTGCATATATTCATATACAATTTTTAAACAAAAATAAATGACACTTTTTTACAAAAGAGTACGAACAAAATCTCTGTAATAATCCAAATTATATGTTACATTTACAGTAGGAATTATACTTAACTGATCAAACACTAAGTTATATTTTATTTCATTCATTTCTTTGGGAAAAAAAGCATTAGAAGACTGTCTCCAGTTAATGCCTAGTTTGGTAATATGGGTTCTTAGAGCAATTAATTTAGTTTAGCAGCCCTAGTTTACATGTGGTTAAAATGTTTTATTAGAAAAATTTTTCAGACATACAGAAATAAAAAGCATATGTGTACTCACCACACACTTCATCAAATATAAGCCCTTTTCTGCCACGCTGCTACTGCAAGAAATAAGCAAATCCTAAGTAAAAGTTGCAGCTCCTTCCATGTGCCTCCAGAACGCATTTTTCCTGCCTGTCTGCCCAGGGATCAGCATTAACCTGAATTTGGTCTATATTATCTGTGTCCATGCTGTCAACTTGCTCTAGTTTGAGTCCTGAAATTATACATTGCATGGCTTTGTCCATTTTCAAGCTGTATAATAACGATGTCATTTATGTGATGTTTTTTTAAAAGCTTACCGTATAATGCTGATACCGTTAGAGCCAAGCGTACCCAGGAAGCAAAGATTGTGAATATACATTGCCCAACTCAGAAACTTGCCATAAAAAAATAAGGCAGCAAAATTCATAGTGTGAACAGAACTGTTTGAATGGCATTTATTTGTTTTTGCAGAGGAGCTCCTGGGTACCTCCCATAGTGTGTTCCAGCAGCCGTTGACTTAGCCACTGGTTGAAAGGGGGAAAGCGGTTTCTGTTTGATACACAGGGCTCTTGGCAATGATGCCCTTGTTCCTGTAGGCAGGTAGTTAGTTGATGGGGGTGTCCTTCATGGCTTCTCTCACCACGTCGGGAAGTTAAACATTTTTGTAAAGAAGCAGGTGATAATTGGATTACCTTAACCTTTCTTTCCTCTGCATTGAGTGTTTGTTGGAGGCGAAGCAGTTACTATGGTGGCTTGCTGTGCGTTGACTTTAAATCTGCAACCCTTCTGGGATGGGTGTGATCTGCTGTTGTTACATTTCCGGCAGTGTGCAGCAGGCTGTATGCAGGGCAGGGTCACTCCTGGCAGACGCCGTGGGTGCTGAGGGCTGCCTTGTGTCTGATGATTCCTCGGAGCCATTCCAGCATCACAGAAGGATGTGCCATTAGTGATGAAGTCTCCCAAGTTGGCAGAGAAAGGAAACCTTACTGGGAATTTGTATATGCTGGGGTGTCTCTGTCCGTTGGATTTGATTTAGTCTGGTTGTCGGATTTCAAGTTTATGGATACAGCCTGATGTAGACAAAGTGATTGTGGGGCTGAGGTACAGCAAACTCTTTTGCCTCACAGCTTGCCACTGTTCTTTCCTGGAAATTTTAGTGTTTTGACTGTCTCCAGCCAATTGTTCAAGTTGTCAGGAAATTTTTGTTTTATTTTTGCAATGAAGTCTTACTGAAGTTTCAGTCTCTTTTATCTCAGTGTGTGATCAGATGCTGAGTTGCGTTGCTCACAGTTCGTGTTCTAAGGTGTTTGCAGCAGGGCAGTGAGCTGTTTTTTCCCATTTCAAGTGCAATCTGAAATTCTCTTCTGAGAATGGAGTGGCTGGGGGGACAGATGTGCTGCCTTGAGGAAGATGTTAATTTTTTTAATGTTTGTTTTGTTAATTATTCTGGCTAATAGAGAATAATGAAGATGGATTTCCAAATTTAGAAATTTAGAATTTGTAAAATTCCCAAAGTACTCTAAATATTCTTTGTTAATTAAAAAATATTTTTTTTTAGTGTTATCACTGTGTGCTTTGAAATTTATTTTAAAAGTAGGAACCTCAGGAGCCAGCTCTTCTCATCAATTGAGACGTGGAGAAAAGAATTTAAGGCTATTGTGTAGCTCTTACTATACATTATTAATTAATTAAAGAGAAAAATGAGCTCTTGACAAGGAACTGATAAATATCTCTCTTTTCCTTCTAGCCCAAAGGGTTAACCTTACGTTTTATATTCTTCTGCAACTTTGTGTTTGTTACTTGATTTATTCCCTGTCATCTCATTCTAGGCATCCACTATCCTAAGGGAAACAAGTGCACAGTGCTTGGCACGTAGTAGGTGTTCAATAAACATGAGCTCTTATCACCGTCTGCGAAGCGTGTTTCCTGATGAACACAGCTGCGCAGGAGAGTAGCACCCTTTGAAGTGCTGGATCTGAGTTTCCATCATGGGAACTGTTCTCCTTGTCCTCCTCCTTAATTTGGTAGCAGCCTCTTCTGGAATCCTAAATGTGTCCCATCAGCCCTTGTTTTTATTATGACCCGTGACATTGCCCTTTTTAATATGTATATTTTTTAAATCAGCTGTTCCACCTCACATCCCTTTGAACCTGGATTCCATTAGCTTTTCATTGTAGCAGTGGACACCACAAAGTGTTCATTTCATATATCATCTCAGATTTGAAAAGCACATGAAAATGTTTCTCCATTTTCAATATTGCGTGAGTAATGTTCCCATTGAAAAGTAATGGAGTGAAGTTGTCACTTGTCAGCACAGTTATTAAGGAGGACGAGTCTCCGATCTTTCTCTCATAATAAAATAAATCTGTCAGAAAATCATTGTGCTCACACTTCCTCATGCCATCGAGAGAGGAGGCTGAGACGATGGAGCTCCTTCAGTTTTACCCAAGTCAAGGTGTGCTTTTGGCTGGGGCTTCCCTGGGTTAAAGGTCGCCACCCATCCCACCCGGCGCCCGTCACTCGTTGTCCACAGCAGGTCAGCAGTGCATCGGAGATAATTGACTCAGGACCTCGTCAAAGCTGTTCATTATTTCCCAAATACTGACCTTTTGTCCAAAGGCGATTTTCAGGGGTTTTCTTTTCCCTTCGTTATTTTTTGTGGTTTTGTCCATTAGCTTAGCTTCGAATTTGCCATTTTCCACCCACCCAGAAGCAATACAAGGAAAATGTTAACGGCACCTTGATACTAATCAAGGGTGTGCCGTTAAATCGCACAGCTGACTAGTTAATAGAATTTTAAAATCATTCAAACATTAGTTAAATATGTATGTTTATGTAGTGGATTTTCCAAATGAACATTGAGCAGCCCCTTTTTTCCTCGGCTATGTGAACTGCAGCTTTCGAATGCATTTTTCTATTGGGCGTTACTTTCCTCTATGGCCCATTGGTTTGTAGTAATTGAATTTTGAACTTTTTAAAAAAGAATTAAAAGATAATTTTGTGGTAGAAAAGTCAGTGGGAAAGTTTAGACGGTTCTCTTTAAAAATGATGAGTCAGTGGAGATGAACTGCTGAGCGGTCTGCTGGTCGGATGTGTCTGTGCGCACACATAGATCACGCGTGTTTTCTAAATGTGTATTGGCAGGAATTCTGCAAACAGGGGCAGAGCCCCGTCTGTGAACTGCAGCCCTTACCCAGATGCCAACTTTCCTTTTGCTTTGCAGTCTCGGAAAGGGAGCGACCCAGACAAAGAGAAGAAAGGCCTGGAGAGTCGTGCGGACAGCATCGGGAGCGGCCGAGCCATCCCAATTAAACAGGTGAGCAGCATCCCCATCCTTCCTTCCCTGTCGCCGGAGACACACCTCAGGTCTTCCCAGAGATGATGCTGGCTCGCGCGCCAAGGTCTGTCTGCTGTGCTCTGTTGATGAATGTAGAAGTCTGTCACTTGACATCAATTAGCAGAGTTCCTGTGTGTATTCAAATGGGATCATTAGAATGAGAAGAGGGAACGGAGACAACAGACCTAATGAAGTGCGGGCTGCCCGCCTGCATATGGAGTGCGTTTCCAGGCTGAGAGCCTTCAAAGGCTGCCTTTGTAGCGCGGCTTTGATTGGGCCGCGGGCCGCCGGGCAACAGGGGTAACTCAGATCGCCTACAAGAGCCCCTTGTGATCACAGGAACAGCCCGACGTGGCCCTAATTTGCTCTCACAGACGGACATCTGAACACTGTTTCAGGCTGGTTTGTAACAACGAGGCAATTAGTTGTGATAATCATAGCTGGTGTGTCAGCTGTGCGCTCTTGTTTGTAATTTGCTAATGAAGGAATTGTAACTTTGATTAGGTTCGGTTTCATTTAGACCTTATTATATAAAGGAACATTTACAGCTGTAATGTGGGGCCTTAATTAAACTTCCTCATTACACAACAGGACTTGAATTCAACCATTTGTTTTGGCCTGTGTTGCTAGCCTGGAACAGGGTTTCATTAGCCCAGAACCGGATTCTAAATCACTTTATGTCTCCAATAAGAAAAAAAAAAAACCCTGGAGTCCACGTGTGACGTAGATTGTGGTTCGATTTCCAAGGAGAATAAAAATAGAGTTCAACCCCACACCGTGGCTTCTGGAAATGGCATCTTCTGGTTTGTTAAAGAAAGCCAGTTGATTTGGAGTGCATCCTTCTTGAGCAAAAGCCTCTGTGGGCAGGAGAAGGGCTCCGCCTCTCAGGCACAGGGCTTGTGACCGGTGTGCACCTCTGGTCCAGCTCACTGCTTTGCTGTCCTCTCTCCTGCGGGTACCTACACGGCGTCCCTAATCCCTTAGGAACTGTGTAGGCACTGGCTGCCCTTAACAAGGGGACAGTCGTTCCACACATGGAGTAGGATTATTCTGGTCATGTAGGGTTCGTGCATTTGAAGCAAATAGGAACACAGCCTTAGAGACGGGCCAGGCAGTGTCAGCGCGAAGATGTGGGAGAGGAAGGGGTTAAATAGTACCACGACATCTTGGGTGAGACCAGAGGAGGGAGTCCACAGAGTTTCCCAAGATGCCCAGGAACTACTGCAAAGACCGCAGCTCTGCCCGCAGTGTAACTGACCCTGCCCGGGATCAAGCTTTCTCCTTCCTGGCTCACAGGGCATGCCTTTGCCAGGCAGAGAAGGAGGAGGCCTGCAGGCCATCACCAAGGCCCTCATGCATCTGTGTAAGACACTCGTTCATCTACTGGGCCGCACATGTATGGATTGGCCCGGGGCACCTTTAGGAGAGGTTCTCTTCCCTCCATATATTCAAAGACAGCAACAACAGAACTTCCCACTTTGATGGTGGGTGGTGTTTTCACTATAAAAAAGGTCCTTCACTTTAGAGGTCCGTGCACATAGTTGTTTATTCTTTCTTGGTGCATTTATTTATAACCTAACTCTGCGTAAGCTGATTTTAATGTGTAATTTTTATGCTATTGATCCCTTTTTCAACTGGAATTATAAAAATCATTTAACATTTTATTTTCTTTTTTATAAACTGGTGCCAGGACATTTACTTTGGGGAATATTAAAACTAAATAACAGACCGTTTTCTTAATGCCTGTCTGTGGTTGATTTGGGTGGGAGTGCTCACCAGCCTGGCAGGAGTCCCTCTGTGCGAGCCAGGCGGGCCCCCAGAATAATTGGAACCTTCATTCAATTTGTACCCTGCTCATCTGTGGAGGGGGCTAGCTTTGCAGGCTAGCTTTTCAATATGTGTGCAGATTGGAGTTGACCATCAAGCGTAAAATGAGTATTATCCAGTCCTTGGAAGCCTTTCGATTGTGAATGTTCAAAGTAATCTCGTTGAAATCTAAATCATGGTCTGATTTCCCGGTGACTCCTGGGCACAGGGAGCTCATTGTCCCTCCTAATTGTCCCCCTCTTGTAGCCATAGACAGCTCCCTTCTCAGATCCACACCTGGCCCAGCAGAGTCCCCCTGTGGCTGGCACTCCAGGCCTCAGGTGCCTCATCTGTAAAATGGGGAACTGGATGATGTCTGCAACCCTTGAAGCAGTTAGATGTGGAGGTTCCACAGAGAATTTTTAAATGTTAGCAATACTGGATTTTTGAATTAGTCATGTTCAGGGCACCCTTGTCAGAGTCTCTCTATGCATCGGGTGGATTGATGTGGATTTGCAGACGGTTGTATCGATTTATCTCACATCCCTGTGTGTGCCCTTGTTTCTAAAGGAACATAGATCACTCCAGGTAGCCTCGAATTCCTGACCCTCCTGGTGTGATGACTTCAGTGTGGAAATGAAATGAGAGGATTGCAGGGGATGGAGCCTGATGGCCATATTCTAGAAACTCAACCGAATTATTTGTTGAATAAATGAACAATTAAATGAGTGCTTATTATGTAAGTGCTGTTCATTCGGGATCCTGTTTAATCCTCGACATTGCCACAGTTGTGGTAGCTGTGTTGTCCTTATTTTAAACACAGAGATGGGGAGGACCCTATACCAGGCAGCCAGGAAGTAGGTGCAAGGATGCGGACCAGGTCTCTCTGCCCCCATGCCCATGCTCTTTCCACTGCCCATCGATGAAAAGCCTTCAGAAAGCTTAGGAAGCAACGTTACATGTTTTAAATTAAATAAGTGAATCACAACCTGAGACAAAAGTATCTTATGACTGTAGAAAGAAACTTCTGAGACTGCCTGCAGCAACATGTTTCTCCAGGGATAACACAGCCGTGCTCAGCCGTTCTCCGGGTGGGAGGCATCTTTCCATTCCCCTCCTTACCGTGTTTGCCGCAAACGTGTTCTCTGCTCTTGTCACCAGCTGCAGATGACTGTGTCTTAGTACTCAGCCCATGCGGAAGACTCAGGTCTGCATGATCAAAGCCTCACACACCAGCTGATGGACCTTTGCCTAATGGCAGAGGAATTGTTTTAGAACCTCAGCAACCTGCGTGGAGTTGCTATTGCAGACTCTTCTTTCCCCCAACAGGAGTCTTGTAACGGATGGTTTAGGACCCAGGCAAGGCAGCCTTCAACACTCTTTGCAACCTAACCTCTGAGTTTACAGATTGTACATGTTGCAGTGGCTTATGTTAACCCCCTTTCACTTCCATGTGATATCTCGTTCACCGTGAGCACCAAGGCGCCCCCGACCTCAGTGTGGGAGTTCGCTGAATCATGATGGTCAATGACATTATCTCTTCTTTCTCCCAATTACAGATTCCCCATCAAGAATATAACTTATTTTCTGGACCACAACTTCATTTCTTGTGGACCTGGGTCTACTTCTCCTTTTGTGTCCTTTCTGGGGTCTTGGAAGAGATTGGTTCAGAGAGTTCGGTTTCTTTTTTTTTTTTTTTTTTTTTTTTCTTTAACTAAGAAGATAAGGTCTATTGGAGTAAAAATTAAAAAGCAAAGCAAGAAAAATAAAAGCCAGAGGCCCGGCTCAGCGGCGAGTGGGCTTGTCACGTATTAATTTTTCATTGCTGTGGAGAGTTGTACATACATAATCACTTGATTGCAGTGGGAGTTAGGGAGCTCCTATGGTGCCATTTGCATAAATCTTGTTAAGTCAATGGCAGTTAATGAAGTACAAATGAGCCCGGAGAAGGTGACATGCAAATCGTGGGTGGCAGATGGGAGGTCTGTTTGGGGGACGGCAGCTGTGTGCTCTCCTTTCTTTCTTTCTCTTTAGCATTTTTTAATCTCTATATTTGAGTACAGATACACAGCCGTACGCCTTGGCCTCCTCCCTGCCCTTCGCAGAGCCCTGGCCAGAGAACCTGGCCATCTCCTCCTGCCCCTGATGTCCAGGCTGCAGACACCGTTCAAGACTTGCCTTGTACTTGGGTAGCGTACACTAGAAGGATTTGAATTTTTTGAAAATCGTGCTCAGTTTATTTCGTCATACTTACACAATTGAAAACATATTATTTTTATTTGGTGGGGACACGCAGAACCTCCTCATGACATTTTTTGAGACTGTGTGTTGTCTCATGAGGTTTCAGAATGAAACAGAATGGAAGATACCATCTTTGCCTTATCATGCTTCCATTTGGGGGTCTTGTCTTGCTGCTTCAGACAGGCCAACTGTATGTAGCCATTATCCCCGTCCCTGGTTTGTAGTTGGACCCTCAGAGGATTGGCGTTCCTAGGGTTAGTCAGGAATGAGAAATACAGAAAGTGTGCGGGGCATGCTCTGTGCCTCAGGCCATGGGGACGACCCCTCCCTGTCATGCAGACCCCTCAGAGGGGCCGCCCCTGGCCTGGCTCAGCTTTGGCCAGGGTGTCTCGCGCTCGCGGTTTTGTGTTTAAGGATTTAAGTGCTAGCAGGACTCCCAGAGAGCCCTTAGAGATTCACGGGAAGAACACTGCCTGCGACTTTCGGAAGTTTTATGTTTGTTTGATCAACTGGCTGATGTTTTGAGAGAACCAGGTCTCTGCTTGCCTCAAAGAAAGGTAGGCAGAGAGGTGTGCGTCGGGAGGCGACAGCCCGGATGGCTGCGGTGGTCACGTGCTGGGGGTCCTTTTCTTGCAGGCCACCCACTCTGGTCCTTCCTCTGCGATGCCCGCCAAGGTGCTGTTTCTCAGTTCTCGGGGCTGCAGGGCGCTAAGGGGGACCCTCCTATCCGGCAGGCTCCCTTTTGTGATGCTCGGTGGAGACACCAAAGAAACAACATTCCTCAAAACTTTTTTTGTTAAGTCTTCATTTTGACCTTGAACCCTGATGTCATGGCCACCTCCAGGGAGTCAGCTGTGAGAGCAGTCATTTTCCAGCAGCCATCTGAAGCCGCGGGAAAAGCCTTCCCAAGCTGTCAGAGGAAGAGCCGGCCT